TTTTATAATTCTCTTTCAATTACAAAATCTTGATTTGAGGTTAAATTAAAAAGTTTAAATATTTGTCATGCTAAACCATTAATCCTTTTATGCATCTAAGAAAAAAAATTTCTTTTTTAATGAGTTTAGAGATTCGAGATTCGAATTAAAATGAAATCTTTATTATTATTATTATTATTATTATTATTATTATTATTAAGTAAACCCCTCAATTTCTTGTGCTGCAGAAATCTACTCAAAGTAGGCCACAAATGTTGACTGCTTAGGTGAAATACATGAACAGTAAACCTTTTTTTTCCCCTTATTGTAACATCAAGTAGCACTATGATGAGAACCCCAAAGAGAATAATGAGACCCACAACACGCCAAGGGATTTATAAACTCCAGGAAAGTTAAATCAAGTTTATAATAGGACCTTGACCCGTTGTTTATGTCGCAACAAGAACCAAAGATAAAAAAACGTTGACCCGTTGTCTATGACGTAACAAGAACCAGAGGTATAAAGTTGGTTGATGCCGCACCCTCGAACGATTAAGAACGAGAATGATAAGTCAGGTTAGAACGCTACAAGAATAATCTTGATAAGTTCTGTAAAGTTCTGAAACAAACCAAAGAGAAAAGTCTCTCAAAATCTCAGATTCAATAGCCTCCTCCTCATTAGGGTTACAAGCCTTTTAAATAGAGAAAACAAATCCTAATCAGAATATGAAATTAACACCCTAAGTCCTAAACCTAATAACCACGAATTGGGCTTCAAATAAGCGAATGTTCAGCCCAAAAATAATACAAAAAATACGAAAATCACTAAAAATAACCTAAAATAACACGAAATATCAGTTTGCTACAAATTGCGACAGAATTGTGCGATTTTGACGCAAACTGTGTAATTCCATGCAAATAACCTTAACTAAGCTTCTCTTGAACCTGAATGATATTTACCATGCCTTGATAATCATCCAAGCTTCGATTTGCTTGTTGTATGTTGTTTTCAACCCAGATCTGCTCAATAAGGCCATTTAAAGCTTCACACATCTTCTTAGCTCTAGCTCACGTGACTGGACCTCCTTGGGTGTGTAATGGATCACATGACGTAGTAGATATGCTGTCGTCTTGATTCCCATCATTCCCTCTCTCCTCAAAAGGATTTGTCCTCAAATCGTCACCTACATCAAAAGGAGAAAGATCAGAAATATTAAAAGTAGCACTAACATTATACTCACCAGGAAGCTCCAACTTGTATGCGTTGTCATTAATCCTCACAATCACTTGAAATGGTCCATCGCCTCTTGGTTGTAGCTTAGAACGCCTTTGTGCATGGAATCGCTCCTTGCGCATATGCACCCAAACCCAATCTCCAGGTTCAAATACAACTTTCTTGCGTCCTTTGTTGGCTTGTTTTGCATATTGCTCAGTTCGTTGCTCTATGCTTTGTCGCCCCTCTCATGCAGTTGCTTAACCACTTCAGCTTTTTTTTTCCCATCCAAACTAGCTTGTTTGTCAATAGGTAAAGGCAATAAATCTAAAGGAGTGAGTGGATTAAAACCATAAACAACTTCAAATGGTGAACAGTTAGTTGCTGAATGGACGCTTCGATTATAAGCAAATTCAACGTGCGACAAACACTCTTCCCAGTTCTTCAAGTTCTTCTGAATAATAGAATGCAATAAGGTTGACAACGTCCTATTAACCACTTCTGTTTGTCCATCAGTTTGTGGATGACAAGTAGTC